CTGGGCGGTGAGGGGGGGCAAGTTTGAAATCTTAAATGGGAACCCCTATTTTTTATTGCATATTCCTGTAGCTTATCTCGAGAGCTTTCCAAAACACTATAATTAAGTACCTTTTTATTAAGTACTTTTTGAGTTATAAGGCTTGAAATAATTCTTAATTTTACATAAACCATAAAATATCTAGTAAACCATTCATTTTTCGATTATCTTACCTTCATACTTTTATGTACAAAATAATGAGAGGAATCAATTGGTGGTAAAGAAAACATAAAGTTGTTTTTAAGAAAAAATATGGAATTGTTAATTGCAAATTACATATTTTTTCTTAGAAACAACTATGTGTTTTCTTTACACCAATTGATTCCTCTCATTATTTTGTACATAAAAGTATGAAGGTAAGATAATCGAAAAATGAATGGTTTACTAGATATTTTATGGTTTATGTAAAATTAAGAAATTATTTCAAGCCTTATAACTCAAAAAGTACTTAATAAAAAGGTACTTAATTATAGTGTTTTGGAAAGCTCTCGAGATAAGCTACAGGAATATGCAATAAAAAATAGGGGTTACCATTTAAGATTTCAAACTTGCCCCCTCTCACCGCCCAGGGGAGGGGTGGGGGGGCTGATTTTAACGTCATTGTACGTCCCCCTCGAAATGATGAAATTTGGATTCTAACCATTTTTTCGTAGTGTGCTTATTTTTCGAGTTATTTGGCTGCCTATGTTAAAATGGGTCACCCTGTATATATTATATATATTATATATATTATATATATATATATATATATATATTTATATATTTATTTATTTATTTATTTATTTATTGGCAAAGAAAGTTTACGGGATAGTTGAAGAAAATAATTTAGCTATGTGAGAAGTGGGTGAGAATGATAATGGAGTTCGATGTATGGGGATGGAGAGAGCGGAGGGAAGTAGAGACGATGCAAGACAGGTGAACACTACGAGTGGATTAGTGTACGCCGGAATACTTGGTGAGGGAGGAGATTGAGAAGGACATACTCCGGGTAAGAGCAGGAAGAAGAGCGATGTAGTTTGAAAAAAAATTGGAGGAGGGGAAAGGTGGAATTCTAGCGAGGAAGTGCCTCGAAGAATAGAAAAAGGGGGTAAATGAGGGAGGGGAGGGATTATTAGAGAGGGATTATTTGAGAGGAAGAGAGAAAGAAATTCTTTGAGGACAGGGGAAAAGAAGTAGTGGAGATGGAGGAAAAGAGAAGAAGAGGAGGAAGTGTATGAAGGGTGGAAGCAGCGGGAAAATTGCAAAAGGAGGAAAGATAAGAAAGGAGTTAGGTCGAAGTACAATAAATGGTATGAAAGGATAAAAAAGGAAGAAATGCTGGCTTATCTAAGGAAGGGATGGAGGGAAGATAGATGGAGAATGGTAATAAGATTTAGAATGAATAATGAAATGAAAGGAACGAGGTATTGGGAAACAGAGGAGAGAAGGATGTGTAAGTTGTGCGGGAGGTGAAGAGACATGGGAATATATGCTGAGGGAATCTATGGGGGGAAGAAGGATGAGAACTGGTGGGGAAGTTTGAGGGAGATTTTAAGGCAGGAAGGGTAGAGAGAACGGTAGTTAAGGGAGTTAGAGGGAAAAAGAGAAAAGCAAGAAGGGGGATAAAACAGGAAGGGGAGGAAGCAGGAGGAAGAATGGAAAAGTGTGAGTAGAGTATGGGTGAGTGTGGGTTGGAACCGGAAGTCGAGGCATTTGTTAGAAGGTAACTTTCTCTCTTCTTTAGTTTAGTTAGTCTAATATGTGAGATAGATATAAGAGAGTAGAAATAAGCGTTGTATGCGTTAATTGTAAATCATTCTAGTTTGGCATAATTATGTATCTGTTTTGTAAGAGGTTTGGGTACGCTCCTCTGAAAAGAGCCTTCAATCCCTGAGGGGTAAAATAAATTTATCTATATATCTATCTATATTTATTTATTTATTTATATATTAAATAATATACAGGGTCTTTAAAAAGTCCCGGAACGCTGAAATATCTTGAAAAACGAACAACTATAATGAAAAATATGTAAGGAACAAAGTTGTAGGACTAAATAAAATGTACCTAATGATGATAAGAATTTGACCTTGGATGAAGTACTCAAGGTTATATGAAAGTCAAGTTGATTTTCTTAAATGGAACTCTCCATTTTTTATTATAATACATATTCTTATAGCTTATTTCAAGAGCTTTCCAAAACACAAGAAGTAAGTATTTTTTCGTTAGATACATCTCGAGTTATGAGACGTGAAAGTTACAGTACCGTCGGCATTAGCTTCACCCAAAGTGTACCGCGTGAAGGTTGCTCGGTCGGATTGACAGCTCTTGTGTGTGTGTGTGTGTGTGTGTGTGTGTGTGTGTGTGTGTGTGTGTGTGTGTGTAGGTGTAGATGTAGGTATAGGTGTAGATATAGATAGATAGATGTGTGGGTATATGTGTCGGTGGATGCCCATCCACCCTCTCTGCTGTGTGTACAATATCTATAATTTCTCTTGCTCAGCGTAATATTACGCGAACTCAATCGAAACTTGCGCATACCAGCATTTCCAGATAAAGCTTCGGTCCACATATTCTATTCTTTGCTATGACACACACCCACCGATACATACACCCCCTACGCACACACACACACACGCACGCACACGCACACACGCACGCACACAAAATAGGCGTAAATCCGACCAAGCAACCTCCACGCGGTACTTGGGTGAAGCTAATGCTAGCGGTACTGTAACTTTCAAATCTCATAACTCGAGATGTACCTAACAAAAAAATACTTAATTACAGTGTTTTGGAAAGTTCTTGAAATAGTACAAAAAGTTATAAAAAAGTTATAAGAATATGCAATAAAAAATGGGGAGCTCCATTCAAAAAAATTAACTTGACCTTTATATGACCTTAAGTATTTTATCCAAGGTCAAATTCTTACCATCATTAGATACATTTTATTTAGTCCTACAACTTTGTTTCTTACATATTTTTCATTATTGTTGATTATTTTCGAGAAAAATAACACATGGTGTTAGAAAAGTCTAGAAACGGTTCAATATCTCGAAAACGAAACGCTTCTGAGAAAAATGTTCCGAACCAAAGTTGTAGGGTTTTAAAAGTTCCATTCAATGATTACATCCGTTTGATCTTAAGTGGAGGAGTCAAGGCGAGGTCAAGGCCATGATTTTAAAAAAATCAAAACCCCAATTTTTTATTGCATATTCTTATAGCTGACTTCGAGAGCTTTCCAAAACACTATAATTAAGTTAGTTTTCATTAAGTACTTTCCGAATTATGAGGCTTGAAATCATTTCTTAATTTTACTTAACTATGTGTTTTCTTTACATCAATCGATTCCTCTCATTATTTTATGCTTAAATGTAGTAAGGTAAGATAATCGAAAGATGAATATTTTACAAGATATTTTATGGTTTATGTAAAATTGAGAAATGATTTCAAGTCTCATAACTCGAAAAGTACTCAATGAAAAAATATTTTATTATAGTGTTTTGGAAAGCTCTCGAGATAAACTACAAGAATATGTGATGAGAAAATGTAGGTTTCATTTAAGAAATTGAAGGTGATCTTCATTGAAGGTGACCTTCAAATAACTTTTCAAGGTCAAACCAATGGTACCATCTTATGTCCCCCTTAAAACCATACAACTTTTGTCTGAAACATTTTTATTTGCTGGACTCAGTTTTTGAGATATTTTAATTTTTGAGATATGTCCAAGTTAAAATGGGACATCCTGTATATATATATATATATATATATATATATATATATATGTATATATATATATATATATATATACAGGGTGAACCATTTAAGTTGATAATGAGAAATATTTCAAAAACGAAACATTGAAGAAAGAAATGTTTTAAATAAAATTTAATTTACTTTAAAGGAGTCATAAGGTGGTGTCATTGGTTTGATCTTAAAAAGTCATTTGAAAGTTATATGAAGGTCACCTTCAATTTTTTTGGAAATGGAACCCCTTAATTCTTATTACTTATTCTTGTAGTTTATCTTGAGAGCTTTCCGAAACTCTAACAAAGTATTTCTCCATTGAGTACTTTTCGAGTTGAGGCTTGAAATAATTTCTTAATTTTACATAAACCATAAAATATTTAGTAAAATATTCATTTTTTTATTATCTTACCTTAATACTTTTATATACAAAATAATGAGAGAAATCAATTGGTCTAAAGAAAACACATAGTTGTTTTTAAGAAAAAATATGTAATTAATTTAAACATAATTGTATTGTAATTGATTGCAAATTACATTTTTTTTCTTAAAAACATCTATGTTTTTTTCTTTACACCAATTGATTCCTTTCATTATTTTGTACATAAAGGTATTAAGGTAAAATAATTAAAAAATAAATATTTTACTAGATATTTTATGGTTTATGTAAAATTGAAAAATTATTTCCAACCTCATAATTCGGAAAGTACTCAATGAAAAAATCCTTTATTATAGTGTTTTGGAAAGCTCTTGAGGTAAGCTACAAGAAATATTAATTATACTCTATGCAAAAATACATAGGGTGTCCCATTTAAAAAATTGGAGGTGACCTTCAGGTAACTCTTCAAGATCAAACTAATGGCATCATCTTATGTCGCCCTTTAAACTATACAACTTTTGTCTGAAACATTTTTGTCTTAAACTTATGGATTTTGAGATATTTCAGTGCGTAGATTAAAATGATCTACCCTGTATATTTTCTATAAGTTCAAATTGTCGCACTTATTATTTGTTTTTACAATTTAATTGTTAATATCTTTTTAATAAATGACAACTGATTAAAACTTTTTGGAGGTTACTCATTGTCAGAGTTATGACCTTGACAACATATCAAGGTCAAAGTCATTGATGAGGTTCCCGATATTCTAACTTTTTGGAGGTTACTCATTGTCAGAGTTATGACCTTGACAACATATCAAGGTCAAAGTCATTGATGAAGTTACCGACATTCTAAATATTTACCAAAAATGCTATTATAAACATAAAATAGGTATTGATAGTACATACCTAGATAATCTATCTAATGTTATCTCTGGAATAATGTAACCAATATTACGATTGGCAACAGGAAACAATTGTTCATGTAACATTAGATTATGATTTACATTAACACGTTGTGATAATCTATTTGGGCCAAATGGATCCGATATCACTGGTGTACCTGTAATTGGATCTAAGGCATAGAATATGATTAAATTGTATGATTAATTTGTAAGGTACATATTGTTTAGTTACAGTATGTTTAGTTTTAAGATATATATTGTATATTTAGTTTTTAAGGAAAATTATAATTTTTTTTATTTATATTTGAACATCTAACAAAAAATTATATTTACCCAAGTATTGCGAATAAAGTTCCCAAGATTTTGGACTTGGAAATATTCTAACAAATCCACCTCTTCTTTCAAATTGTGCTTTTGCAGACGCTACTATTCGTTGTTGCTCCGAGCTTAGACCTTTATTTTTATTACTCTTATTAACATTTTTTTTTTCTTGCGTTAATATTTCTGCAGATTGCACTCGTCTATACTAAAACAAAAAAACAAAGATTTGCTTAATTTGCTTATCATTTTTAGTTCAATATCTTCATTATCTTAATTCAATATCTAATTCACTAGATTTCCTGATTTTCGCATCTTATAAAATAAAAAATATAGTATTAGTAATTAAAAATATAATTTCAATAATTAAATATAATAATTATTTGACAATTGCACTTAATATATCTGCTTAATATTTTATTTATTTTTTTCAAACAAAAATATGTGTAATTTTTAATTCTACTTCGATTTTAAACAAAATATTTTGTTCTTATTTTTTGTTAATTAAGATTTTGTTAATCAAGAAATTAAAGAAAAAGAGAGATTCATTATATTTATAATTCAAATGTGATTAGATATAATTAGTAGTAATTAGAATAGAAGTAGTATAATATATAAGTATAATTAGAGGCTTGTAAAAAATTAAATATTTAGAGAAAAATAAAAAATATTTCCTACAAATATATAATGGATATTGTTTATAAAATAAATATAATTTTTAGAGAAAATATAAAAAAATAACTTACACTAATCTTTTTATTGGGACTAATAGCAGCACGATTTAAATTTTGAGAACGTAGAATTGGATCAATAGCAGGTATACCAACAAGAGTAAACAAATCTGCTATTAAAGCTGATTTAAGTCTAATATCTAATGGTGAATCGCATCCCAATGAAGGAGTTAAATTTACTTCCAGTAACCATGGCTTCAGCGTATCATCGATTAGTATATCAAAGCCAAATAGTTCTAAAATAAAAACAATATATCTATCTAATATATGTAAATTTATATATATATATATATATATATATATATATATATATAGAGAGAGAGAGAGAGAGAGAGAGAGAGAAATTTTTATAGTAATATATATCAAAAATAATTATATTGTAATTATATAAAGGATGTCCCAAAGAGATTAGGAGCCTTAAAAACTTCGAAAAATATAAAGTTTTACAGGAAAATGTTTTAGATAAAATTGATAGTTTAAAACGATTTATTTACTGATCTTATCCGATTGACCTTGAATGGCGTCGTCAAAATCAGAGCAAAGTTACCTTAAATTTTTCAAACGAAACTTCTTATATTCTTCATTGCATATTCTTATAACTTATCTCGAGAGCTTTTCAAATCATCTATAACAAAATATCTTTCCATTAAATACTTTCTGAGTTTGAGGTAATTTTACATAAACTCTAAAATATCTCGTAAAAATTCTCTTTCGATGATTTTACCTCAATACTTTTATGCACAAAATAATGAAAGGAATTGATAAAAAAACATATAATATATAATTATTCTTAAGAAAAAAATGTGTAATTTGTAATTTATATATATATATATATATTTTTTTTTTTCTTGAGTGAATATTTTACGAGTTTAAAAAAATGTGACGCTACGCGCCCTGCCCTTTGCCTGGCGGTGTTCTGCCGGGCGGCAGCTTCCAGCTCGCATGCTGGGCATAATTAGGGGGTGTAAGAGTGCATCGTTATAAATTTATGTAAAATTAAAAAATTATTTTAAGCTTCTTAACTTTCGGAAAGCTTTTAATGGAAAGAAATTTTATTATATATATTTATTATTATATATATTTATGTTTTGAAAAACTTTCCACATAAGTTACAAAAATTGTTGTGTTTCGGAGTGCAAATTGTTGTATTTGTTAGTTAGTTTACGAATAATGTTTAACGTCGTTGTATCTTGATATTATGTCTTGATTCCGCGAACAGTCCGAAGTAGTAGAAGATCCGAGCACGACGTTGAGCTCCGTACACGTCGGCCACACCTATGCTTCTCCGACGATCCGTTTCTCGGTCGGCCTTATAAGGCTTCTCCTTACTGTGGTGCCGTGTGCACAATCGTGCCGTGTGCATAATCGTACCACGTCATGCTTGCGCGTTGCCGTGCAAGCAATTGTTCCTGGTTGCGCAGATCGTCAAACAGTAGCGTAATGCTTAGCGCCTAACAGATGGCGCCATATACCCAACATTCCTCCCTTGCTTAAGAATGCTGTCCTCGGTAGGGACGAGTTCCTCCCAATGCCTTGTAATCTAGTCGAATTTGATGCGAAAGATGCTCAGAACGACGAGCCGCTGCTACTGGAGGTTGTGTGGCCCCGGAAGGATTTTCAGAACGACGAGCAGATGCTACTGGAAGTTGTGTGGTCCCGTTGTTGAGAGGTTCTGCCTCCTCTCTTTCTCCTAGCGAAGTGTGAAGTACTGGATCTGGTTGAATCCGTGTTGATTCTTTCCCGGAGGGTAGTAGATCCTCGCTAATCGTATTGGATTTCTTTTCCTGTCTCTTTGGACGATTCCATATTTGATTGAAATGTCTAGTAATGAATCCTCCTTCAAAGCTGACACGAGCGAGTGCTTTCCCTATCAGCCTGACAATTTTACCAGGAATACGCTGTCCATTGGAGAGTTGAATTAGTACCGATTGACCTATAACAAATGAACGTGGCCTTGCGCCGTGATGAGCGTCGAATTGCTGTTTCATTTGCTTCTGCCGAGAAGTAAGATTTAGATTAGGTTTTTCGGTTGCAGTAAAAATATCTAATGGAGTTCTAAGCTTACGTCCAAAGAATATCTGCCGGAGACTTATGATCTGGTACCGCATCACTGGGTGTGTAGTTGTATGCGTAAACAAACTTGTTTAATTCCGCTTCTAACTGTGAACTTTGACTTGTGTCGATAGAACTTTTCAATGTTCTGACCATTCTCTCGGCTTGACCATTTGATTGTGGATGCCCAGGAGGGATACGCAGGTGAAGAATTCGAAATTCGGCGCAGAGTTGCGCGAATTCTACTGAAGTGAATTGAGTACCGTTATCTGAAACTAGTACTTCAGGAGGTCCATATCGGCTAAAGAGTCTTCGCAGATATCGACATGTTGCTGCCGATGTTATTGTTGAGAACCATCCTGCTTCTACGAATTTGGAGTAGCTGTCGACAATGACGAGTACCCATTGTCCATGTATCAGGCCTGCGAAATCAATGTGAAGGCGTGACCATGATTTCTCTGGATTTGGCCATGGATGTAATGGTTCTTTTACTGGGTTGCTTGCTGTGCGATCGCAATGATTACACTCTTTTACGTATTTCTCGATATCATCATGCATCGCCGGCAATAGAAATAACGTCGAGCAAGCTGTATCATCCGGCGGATACCCGGATGTGCAATGTGTAGTTGCTTTAGTACAGTAGATTGTAGACGTTTAGGAATTATTAGTTTCTCATCTAGAACTAATGTATTATCAACTATGGCTAAGTAATCGCGACGACGATAATATGGCATTAACTCCTTGTCAGTTACGTCCGATTTAAGCCATCCGTTTTGTAGACGATCTATAGCCTTAGCGATAATTCCGTCGCTGAATGTTGCACTCTGGAGCTCTTGTCGAGCCGTTGAAGGTAAGAACTGTACTGATTCGTTGACAATCTGTTGTAGCTCTGTATCTGTTTCCTGTAGCGCAGCTACAACTTCTTCGAGGTCAGCGTCTATTACGTCTTGTTTTACATCCTGTATTAACCTTGAAAGGGCGTCCGCTTGACCAAATTTTTCGGAACTGACATATTCTATGTCAAAGTCGTACCCAATTAGTCGAAGAGCCCACCGTTTCAAACGATTTGCTGTGCGTGTATCTAGACCTTTTGTATTCGACGTTTTAAACAGGGCTAGAAGTGGACGATGGTCCGTTTATAGCACGAAGTGACGACCATATACGAATTTTCAAAAACGTTCAACAGCAGTGACTAATGCTAAAGCTTATTTTTCAATTTGACTGTAATTCTGTTGAGTCTTTGTCAATGCTTTTGACATGTGAAAGACTGCTTTTACCTGGCCATCTAGGGTGCGCTGTAACAAAACGCCACCAATTCCGATCGAACTAGCGTCTGCTGCAACGATCAGAGTTTGTCTGGGATCGTAATGCGCTAGTAGAAGTGGTCCAGTAAGAATATTTTTAATATCCTCAAACGTTTTCTTCATTTTTGCTGTCCACACGAAGGGTACATCTTTTTTGATCAAAGCTTCGAATGGTGCTTTGAGTCGATGTAAATTTGGTACAAATTTCCCGTAGTAATTAATCAGACCTAAAAACGAGCGTATCTCTTTTGTATTCGTCGGAGCTCGCATTGTTTGAATAGGTCGAAGACGTGCTGGGTCAGGCTCAATACCTTTAGCTGAAACAATAAATCCAAGGTATTTAACTATTGAAGTATGAAATTTACATTTTTCCTTTTGGAGTCGAAAACCCCATTCTTGCAAGCGGTTTAGCACGGCGTGTAAACGCGTATCGTGCTCTGTGCGTTCCTGACCATAAATCAGAATATCATCAAGATAGACGAGTACGCCTGGAATACCTGTAAGTGCCTGTTCCAGCGTACGTTGGAAAATTGCAGGAGCTGGTTTTAATCCAAAAACCAACCGATTGTAAGCAAATAAACCTCGATGAGTATTTATTGTAGTTAGCTTCTTACTTTCCTTATCCAGTCTTAGACGGAAGTAAGCATCCGATAAATCTAGTTGTGAGAAGATGGAACTTCCTCAAAGTTTTGCCATGAGTTCCTCTATCCCTGGAATTGAATAATCCTCCGCGTCAAGTGCGTCATTTAATCCTGTAGAGTAGTCTGCACAAATACGTATTTTTCCATTTGCTTTGAGTGCAACTACTATGGGCGCCGCCCATTCCGAAAAGTCGACTGGCGTTAAAATTCCATTTTTAACGAGTCTATCCAGTTCCTCATTGACAGGTTCTTCTAATGCAAGTGTGATTGGACGTCGTGGAATGTGTTTCGGTTTCGCATCTGGTTTAAGCCGCAGATGAACCGTCATCTTGGTGCATTCACCTGTGGAACTACTAAAAAGTTCTGTGAATTGTTTATGAAATGAATTTACCGTAATCGTATTCATCGTTTGCAGATGACTCTAGCAATGTGTCCCGTTTTCTTGCAGATTCTACATGCTGCATTCTTAAACGGACATGCATCCCGTTTGTGTTTCGTGGAACCGCAGCCATAGCATGGCGATAATATAGTAGAATTTCTCTTTTTCTCGTAATGCAGTATAGTAGGATTTGTTTTCTTTTCGTAATGATTACCTTTCTTTTTAGGTGAATTCTTCGTAGATTGGCTGATCGCGTTGATTTCGGAGAAGCGCTGTCCTTCAACGCGTATGACGTCAGCCGTGCGGTTCGCATGTGCGTAGCAGATTTCTCTAATGTCTTGAAATGTGCAGTTTTCTTTTTCTGATGCAACCTTGAAGAGGACTGTTCGCTCTGTGTAGTAGGTGTGGTCGCTTAGGGAGAGAGCCGTTAGTAGAATTTTGAGCTGGTCGATATTAAAATTATCGAGCTCAAAGACATCTCCCAGAACATTTACTTTGTCAAGTATTTCTATAGCCGTTGCTGGCGGGGAAGCACGAAAATTGAGAGCTTCAAAACGACGTTGAAATAACGTTTATTATCATGGAACTGTTTTCGAAGATGTCGCTCGAAATCGCCAAGAGACATCTCCTGCGATTTTTTCGGCGATAAACGACTGAGTAGTTGTTGATACTCGTCGTCCCCGAGAGCATTAAGAAGTAACTCTTTGCACTCTGTATCGGTTAAACCCTTCGTTCTTTCCACGAAAGTGCTTCTATGTCGTTCAAACCATAATGCGAAAGTTTTACCCCTTGTAGGATCATGAACGTCATGAACGAATTTACCGAGCCATGTAGCCAGATTTGCGAATTGCGACGACTTTGCAGTATCGTCCGTTCCCGATATTCGATGTGATAGTATCTCCATTTGCTTTTGTGACTCACCGATTTGCTTTTGTGACTCACCGATCTGACGTAATGTGTGCTTCTGGCTTAGCGCAGCTTCTGCTAGCGCTTGAAGTAGTTGGTCCATTTTCTTGTAGGTTCAAAAAGCCGCAGCGCCAATTGTTGTGTTTTTGTTGTGTTTCGGAGTGCAAATTGTTGTATTTGTTAGTTAGTTTACGAATAATGTTTAACGTCGTTGTGTCTTGATATTATGTCCTGATTCCGCGAACAGTCCGAAGTAGTAGAAGATCCGAGCACGACGTTGAGCTCCGTACACGTCGGCCACACCTATGCTTCTCCGATGATCCGTCTCTCGGTCGGCCTTATAAGGCTTCTCCTTACTGTGGTGCCGTGTGCACAATCGTGCCGTGTGCATAATCGTACCACGTCATGCTTGCGCGTTGCCGTGCAAGCAATTGTTCCTGGTTGCGCAGATCGTCAAACAGTAGCGTAGTGCTTAGCGCCTAACAAAAATATTTAATAAAAAAGAGGGGATACTGTTTAAAAAATTTAGGTGAGCTTGCTCTGACCTTGACGCCATTCAAGGTCAAACTTATAAGATCAGTAAATAGAATAGTTTTAAACCTTACAACTTTTATCTAAGACATTTTTCTGTAGCACTTATATTTTTTGAGATTTTTAAAAGTCCCGATCTTTTTGGGACATCCTGCATTTATATTTATATACAGAGTGCCTCAGCGTCACACACTATCTTTAATGACAAATTAATGACAAATTCTTTAGGAATTCTTTGGGATTATTTGAAGATTTTTATCAACGATTTTTTTCTCAGCAAAAATACCAAGGTGTAAATAAAAAACATTTTGTAAATTAAATTTTATGAAAAAAGATTAAATCAAATTGCAATCTTTAGTTAGTTTCGGAATTTATTTTGATAAAATTTTAATTTAAGTCCTGGCTACAAAAATGATATTGATAATATGCAAAAATGATGACCTTTCTCAACATTTTCGCTGAAAAACAATCGTTTTTAAATGAGTTTAAATAATAATTCTATAGCAGATGCAATGACTCTGGGATATTCTATATATAGAAAAAATGTATAGCATTATATTACGTAAGTACTTTTAAGAAATGCTTATACAGGGTGTTCTAAAAAGATATGTCAAAAATTTAAAGAGATATTCCTTACATCTAAAGGATGAAAAAATGTTATATGAACATAGGCGTGGAAATGCTTATTTCAGGAGTTATGTTGAAAATACTATAAGCTGTTACTTGTAAAAGCCTGGCGTACAGCGGATTGTCTCGCAACCTGTACTGATGGTCACGAAAATCTTGAGTATCATCGCACTGATGACATTTTTAAACGTATCCGTGAATCGATGCGTCGACGTGGCACTGCTTGTATTCAGGAAAATAGTGAACATTTTCAACATTTATTATAACATACTCACAAGTCACATTAAAACCAAATGTAAATAAGTCTAATTAAACGATTGTCGTCTACAATAATTAATCCTAAATTTTCTCTTGTATTAGTAAGTAATACAGCTAACAATATTTTTAACATAACTCCTGAAATAAACATTTCCGCATCTATGTTCGTATAACATTTTTTCATCCTTCAGATGTGAGGAATATCTCCTTAAATTTTTTATATACCTTTTGAGAACACCCTGTATATACAAAATAGTTGTTCATTGAGATTTCTTACATATTAAAAATAATTTTTTTTTCTTACGTATTAAAATTTTGTTTTTATCTACATATATAATGCAATATATTTAATTATATTATATTTACATTATAATATGTTTAAAAAACGAAAATGTTATTTAATTTATATATTTATTACAGAAAGTCAATTTTATATTACCAAAACATGTATCAGGATGTTTCACAAATTGCTTTACACCACTGACAATTCCAGATGCAGTAGCAAGGATTGACTTTATAATGATATCTTCTATTCGCTGCATTAGCGATTCTGTGTCTTGACCCATTGAACGCAAATGTCTGAGCAATGCCGATAATGTCCATTTGTGTCCTACATTTTCAGCATCAGGATCCTCACTCCTAATCATATTACATTTTTTCTATATATACCTTTTTAGCGATTTTTTCATTTATGTAATTTTATTTAATTATACTTGTACATTCTTTTTTATTTCTCTAATTTTATCTCTGTTTATCTTCTTTCTTTTTTTTCTTTAGTTACGCTTTTTTATAGCTCCCATTTGTGTTTTCTTATTTTATCTTTTTCGGCTTAATTGACTATTATTTTTCTTACTATTTCACTAATATTGCATGAATTAATAATGTTTAAGCGAAATAATAAGTCATTATTATTTATATTATAATATAGAAGTCATTCATCATCAATTAAAAATAAAGTCAAACAAAAGTACGTCAATAATTTATATTTATAAATGATCTTTTTATCGCAAAATTTTTTTCTCAAAACGTAATAACTTTATATGTAGCTCTTATATATGAACATATAGCTAATTTAAATTATTACTTTAAATTATTTTTTAAATTACTTTTTTAAGTACTTTTATCTTAATATTCTGAATCCATATTTGTTATAACTTACTTTACATAATCCACGTGAAATTTATTTATACTGTAGTTGCAAAGATGCATGCAAGGATTCCAGATGTACTGGTTTCTGCCATCATATTTAACAGCTGCAAATCTCACTAAACCTTCCTCGTACAAATAAATTAGTAGAGGGTCGTAATTTGTAACAGCTACGTAGAGACGCAAATCACACTTGTGTCCATCAACTAAAAGCGGATTATTTATGTATTGTGCCACGATAACTGATTCATCTGTCAGGATCTTCTCAGGCTATAACAGCATAATGAACATTTGGAGACAGATATGAGTATTTTTCGATATATTTAGATCAGTGCTAGGATTTACTTGCAACTTTCGGCCAGATTTCTTAGCTTACGCCTACTGTTCCCCTCTTACCGCTCGCGCCGCTTGTAATTAAAGAGCGCTCAGGAACGTGCACGTCTCAAATGTAATGTGGCAATCTATCTATCTAAGTTCTCTTTATTGTAATTACGTTTTAAAACACAAATTTTTTAAATTGTTATAGAACATATGCGTAATTAATAATAGAATAATTATTTTTATTATTAATAAACAATAAAGAGAATTTAGATAGATTGTCACACTACATTTGTGACGCGCACGTTCTTGAGCGCTTCTTAGTTACGAGCGCGGCGGCGCAGTCACTAAGGCACAAGAAGATAAGAAGGGAACAGTAGGCATAAGCTAAGAAATCTGGCCGAAAGTTGCAAGTAAATTCCAGCTGATTTAGATTATTAATTTAAGAAATTTTAAAAATTTGGGTAAATATTTCGATGAAGGGAGCCCGCTTCGATTTCTTTGACCTTGACATATGTTGTCAAAGTTACCGCCCTGAATAACATCCTAAAGATTTTAACCGTCGCTTGCTTCGTTAAAATGTTGTTAGTAAAAGAATTTCACAATTTTAATGCTTTATATCTCCGAAAATATTAATTTAAGAAAAAAAAATTAAGCAAAAAATAAAACCGCTGAAAAACTATACAAAAAAAATTATATGCATTTTTTTCGTAAACCTTTTTAACTGTTATATGAAAAAAATAATAAATTTAAATATATTTATACAATTTAAATTTATATAAAATTTAATACAATTAAAAAATATTACAAATGTATGTGTACGCGTCCATACACACGCGCGCGCGCGTGGGGGTACAAGGGAGAGCCTTCGATCTCTTCCGCAACCACCTCGCCAGTAGGGGACGCATTGCGAAGAGTTGAATCACAATGGAGATATGTTGTAAGTTGTAAAGCGAGGTCCACCTTGCCCTCCGGCGAGTGCGGGAGAGGGATCGAAGGCTCCCCCTTGCATCCCCCGCGCACGCGCGTGTGTGTCTGTGTGTATACACATACATTTGTGATATTTTTTAATTGTATTAAATTCTATATAAATTTAAATTGTATTAAATGTATTTAAAATTATTATTTTTTCATATAACAGCTAAAATAGTAGGTTTAAAAAAAATGCATATAACCTTTTTTGTGGAGTTTTTCAGCGGATTTATTTTTTTACTTAAAATTTTTTTTCTCAAATATTTTCGGAGATAAAAAGCTTTAAAATTATAAAATTCTTTTGTTAATAACTTTTTAATAAACAACGAACAACGGGTAAAACCTTTTGGATGTTACTCAGGGCAGTGACCTTGACAAATATAAGTCAAGGTCAAAGTAATTGAAGCGGATTTCCTTCATCGAAATATTTACCAATAATTGCATTGTCGTGAAATCATGTGATAAATAATAAGTAAATAGGGTCGATTGAACTATAAGACCTAAAAATAAATAAATAGGTCGCTATTACACTATTTAGATAGAGATGTATGTGGGAGAAGGTCAGACGTGTCTATACGCCCATTTGGTCAACGAGCGACAGAATCCATTCGTGGCAAAGGTATCCATGCATATCCTGTGAAGAGAGCATCACACACTTTTCAGCCTAACAAATAATTGTTAGAAAACATATATTTATGGACTAGAAAAATGTGAGGTGCAAGTGGCTGGAGCGGGAATCGAATCCGAGTTTTTCGCATTCCGGGCAACTGCTCTAGATCATTGAGATCCAGACCTCACACATAATGCTGCTTTTTGACATAGTGATATACGACTCTAGAGCGATGTTGATATCTTGCTCGATGGATGCAATGCCGATTGCCATGGAGGATCCTTGAAAAGGTCGCTCACTGACCAAATAAATGCCGGTGGAGGTATTTGGGTGCACTGCATGCTGGCTTCCGACTAGCCTCCCATATTAGAACGTTTGTTTGGTGGTTTCTTTTTTTAAGTAAGAAAATCTAATCTTTTTACAAAACGGGATCAATTACAATTTCTAGATTAGGAATGAGAGCGCATTAATATATATAAATATTTATTATAAAAATTTAAATCTATTCACAAAATTAAATTTTACTTTTATACATAATTAATACATTGAATGCAATGAGCTTTCGATGGCTCACTGAACTTTTTATTTAGTTATTTTATGTGAAATAAAACTTGATCATGAAATGATTCAGAATATAATCAGTTGAAGCATAATTATCATATACAGAGTGTCTCACAGCTTTTGTACAATATTTTAATAGTATTCTAGAGATAAAATAGAGATAAAAATTCTAATACAAAAATGTTGAGGCAATAGTTTTTGTATTATAAGCGATCAAAGCTTGCCAATGATGATATCATATAGATTTCATTTGCGCGCTCAGGCTTAACTACATTTACATCCGATCTGTTATCTGTTATTGATTTTTTTGTATCAGTATAGTTACAGACCTAAATGCGTAAATTCTATGCAATTGGCAAACATTAATTCTATATTTATGATAAAATAACATATTGGATGTTATTTAAAAAAAATTAATTTATTAGGTATTAGACATCGTGAAGATAAGAAAAATAATATAAATATGTACATATATAAATATATAAATATAATAAAAAATTCAAATAATATAGAAATTATTTAATTATAAATTTCGTTTAAAATTTAATAAATTAGCTCTCATATATGACAGCTCTCATATGACAGCATGGCTTTAACTTGACATATAAATTTGGGACAGCAAAGCAAAAAAAAATTCCTCTGCTCGTAAATGCTTCATTTAAGAGATATTAATTTCTGAAGAATAAAAAATATGAGGTTTCATTTAAAAAATTCAAGGTGATCTTGTCCTGTCCTTGTCCTGATGTTGTCATCAAATCAACATCCTCTTATATTTTCCTTTGAACCAAACAACTTTTATTTAAACGTTATTTTCTAGAATCACAAATAAAAAAGTTTTTGAGGTGTTAAATTAAAAGGGACCACTTTTATGGATAAAATTATCTAGATTTTCATCTAGAAGCAATTATTGTTTATTTTATCTTTTATCTATATAATTCAAGTTTTTAATATCTTTATCTGTATCTCAGATATAAGAAAAGTCGTATCTTTTATTAAAACATCTAAGATAATGTGATCAGTATCACTGTATAAGTACAATTTTTCCTAATTATAGCAATTTACCGAACGGCTACTCTATCGGTCAATTTCAATTATAATCGAGCCCGCAAGTATAGTGTAATACGGATTTAAAAGCGTTTCACTTAATGATCACGGCACTCGTAAACATAATGTGTCTTTGTTTAACTTTTAGCGAATAACAAGGATAAGATGATTCTACGAGCATTGCAATCGTTAAGTGGAACGCAGCCATAATCACATTGATCGATTGACATTGTAGACACGGTCTATACTCATTATTGTTGTCAAATGAATACATGTTTATTTTCTGTAATTTTTTGTGTCGAGTGTATTGTTTTTATATATGCTAAATTGTTTTAAATATTATCTTAAAAGTATTTAGATAAAATATTTAACTAATTCAACTTTTATCTAGATACACAAACAGAATTATTTTTATCTTATCTGAGATACATGAGTATATGATTTATTTAATCTGTATCTAGATTATTTTAAGTTATCTAAACGCAACACTGCATATACAATCTCAGACCACTATACAATCGCAGACCACTCGTATCAGCCGATCATCTCAAAAACTGAGCGCGGCAGACAAAAATATTTCAGACAAAAGTTTTAAAGTTTCAAGTAATGCATTACATGGCGATATGACCTTGAAGAGTGTTGTCAAGGTCACGTAAAGGTCATCTTAAATTCTGTAAATGGAAACCCGAATTTGTTATTGCATATTCGTGTAGTTTATCTTAAGAGCTTTCCAAAGTACTATAATGAAGTATTTTTTCATTAAATACTTTTCGAGTTATGAGGCTTGAAATAATTTCTTAATTTTACATAAACTGTAAAATATCTTGTAAAATATTCATTTTTCAATTATCTTACCTTTACCTAATACTTTTATGTACAAAATAATGAGAGGAATCAATTGGTGTAAAGAAAACACATAGTTATTTTTGAGAAAAAATATGTAATTGTTAATTGCAAATTACATATTTTTTCTTAAAAATAACTATGTGTTTTCTTTACACCAATTGATTCCTCTCATTATTTTGTATATAAAAGTATTAAGGTAAAATAATCGAAAAATGAATATTTTACAAGATATTTTACAGTTTATGTAAAATTAAGAAATTAATGTAAGCCTCATAACTCGAAAAGTACTTAATGAAAAAATACTTCATTATAGTGCTTTGGAAAGCTCTCGAGATAAGCTATAAGAATATGTAATAAAAAATTCGGGTTTCCATTTACAGAATTCAAGGTGACTTTGACGACACTCTTCAAGGTCATACTAATATCGGCATGTAATGCGGTACTTGAAACCTTACAACTTTTGTCTGAAATATTTTTGTCTGCTGCGCTCAGCTTTTGAAATATTACTGATACGGTTGATCTGCGACATCCTGTATACAGGGTGACCCATTTTAACTTAGGCAGCCAAATGACTCGAAAAATAAGCACACTACGAAAAAATGGTTAGAATAAAAATTTCGTCATTTCGAGGGGGACGTACAATGACGTTAAAATCAGCCCCCCCACCCCTCCCCCTGGGCGGTGAGGGGGGGCAAGTTTGAAATCTTAAATGGGAACCCCTATTTTTTATTGCATATTCCTGTAGCTTATCTCGAGAGCTTTCCAAAACACTGTAATTAAGTACCTTTTTATTAAGTACTTTTTGAGTTATAAGGCTTGAAATAATTTCTTAATTTTACATAAACTATAAAATATCTAGTAAACCATTCATTTTTCGATTATCTTACCTTCATACTTTTATGTACAAAATAATGAGAGG